GGTTTCTTGGCTAAATATAGAGTCATGAATACATAGCTGCAAAGTATGGATAAAGCATGGAATTGATGACATTCCACTGTTTTTTACTGCAGCCTTAATGCAAACAAGAAGAAATCCTGTTAAGCAAAACTCATCTTATTGTTACCGATAATGGAAACAATTGCATTATCGGTAAGATAATAACAATAAGATGAATTTTGCTTAACAGGATTTCTTCTTGTTTGCATTATCGGTAACAATAAGATGAATTTTGCTTAACAGGATTTCTTCTTGTTTGCATTATCGGTAACAATAAGATGAATTTTGCTTAACAGGATTTCAAAAGTTTCTAAACCTCTTTGTAAAAAAGGTTTAGAAACTTTTGAAATCCCGTTAAGGGATTTTTTTCTTTTTCCGCTGACATTTTTATTTTTATATCTTTAAACAGTTTATCATACATGCTAGGGATTAAGTTTTGGCTGAAATATGTTCTATATGGTAATTTGTAATTGGAGTAAGCATCTTTAATCAGTTTATTAAACCCCGTATCTTCAACAATAGAAAAAGGCTGAATATCCAATGTGATAAGTTTTCCTATTATTCTAAGGATTGGAATAGATCTGTGGTCATCAATATTCCACTGTTTTTTTGTGTGTAAAGCCTGAATAATGTTACTTTTTACTGTATTGGTGGTAGAAGCAACTGAGGCTTCAGAAATAGACGGCAATGATTGAACCTTTTTTTTTTCTTCCGCAAGTTCAAACTCTTTGGAATGCTTTAAACATAAATATTTTACCATTGCTGTAGTTCCATAAGACTTAAAAGATTTTCCTCCTCTCGTAACTAAACTACCACATAGTTTGCACTTACTCATATGAGGAAACGTGCTTATAGCAAAGAACTTCCACGCTCTACTTTTTTTTGTCATATTTTTTCTTTCAAATAGATAATGAAACTAGTTTTGATATCAAAGTTTTCGTTTATTTTATATAAAATGATAACTTTTTTAATAATACACTCAAAATTAAAATATGAAAAATGTGTATAATATTTACCTTATATCTCTACTTTTATGATTTTTGCTTGATATGAATGAAAAGTGCTATCAGCGTTCAAAATCATTTTAAGCGTTTCATTCAATACTAAATTGCTAAAAATTATCTTGTGTTCTAACAGAATAAAAAGAAGCTATTCTAAAACTTTTTTTTCCATTCTTTTTATTCGTATTCTCGAATTATTTCATTTAGCATTACAGTTTTTGTATCCGTATAAATTTTTTTGCAAAAATGTATTAAAAAATATTTTAAGTGAGATTGTTTTAAGTTAACAAAACTTTGTGGTTATTGACTACATAACAGTCTTAGACTTATATCAAGAAGTTTTATGGTTAAAGTTTAAACTAAAGGAAAAGTCAATTTAAAGATACCCGGTGCTGGGTACTCCAACAAAATGGCCGATACCGGGTATCCGATAAAACAGCTAAATTGCCCGGTCCCCGGGTACCTGGCACTCACTAATATATATATGTATATATATATGTATATATATATATATATATATATATATATATTTATATATATATATATATATATATATATATATATAAGGTTGGAGTTTGCACAATAAGTGTCAAAACTCTAACATCTAAAAGTCCAGTGTACACCACTGATATATATATATATATATATATATATATATATATATATATATATATATATATATATATATATATATATATATATATATATATATATATATATATATATATATATATATATATATTATATATCTGTGTGTGTGTGTGTCTAAGTTTGTGTATATATAACATATATCACACACACACACACACACACACACACACACACACACACACACACACACACTTATATATGTAACTCAACTAAAACAAAACTCAACAAACTAAAATGCTTAGTTTATTAAAACACAGAATAATTTTTTTTCTTTATTAATGTTAATAAAATTATAGATCAAACTTATTTAATTGTAGCGGTTTATAAAAAAAATTTTTTTTTTTCAAGAAAATTGTTTTTATATTTTTAAATGTTTAACTTTTATTAATCTTATATCAAAATTTGTTAAAGAGACTTTCGTTGTCAAAGAAAGTCATCGTTTATTAAATAAAAATAGTTTTTTTATTTTTGAATGTTTATTATAAAAAATCCATATTAAAATAAGTTATATAAGTAAAAAATGTTATATACATCTTTCAATTCTACTTAAAAAATCATTATCAGTAAATTGTTACTTTATTTAAAAGCATTTTGCTAATGAAAAAATGTTTTTTAATAAGTTTTGATGCAATTTATTTCACTAATGGTATAATTCAGAAAATTTTTTATTTAGCGCGTTTTTAAAATAAAATAGCTGCGGTCAAATTGTCGAAGCAAAATGTGATTTGCCTGGTCATATAATGATGTGCGATCACACATCTTCCTGTGAAACACTGAAGTGGGATGTTTTGATTCATCACTAGAGTAAGTTTAGGTTTCTTCACTTCAGATTTAAACTCCAATTTTTTACATTTAAACTTCAGTTTGTCGGTTTTCAACATGAATGCTATGAATTTCTTGACAAAAATGTTGTAAGTCCACTTCAGGCACTTTGCACAACTATTTTTATCATGTTTACCTTTGATTTTGTTTACTGCCATCAATGAAACATTAACTTAAGTTGCAGTTTTTCTTTAGGAGTGATTTGAGTGTTTTAATAAAGCAGATATTTCTAAAGAATTTTTGTTAAATATATCTTTAGCTTTTATTGTTTTTAGGTACCAAAGTTCAAATATTTTTAGTTAAAATGACTAATTTATGTAAAAAAAAAAAATAGTAAGAAATAGTCACAAAAACACTAAACAATTAACGTAATTTTAGTTATTGTTTCATCGTCTATTGTCCTGCTTTCATATTGTTTAGTTCCATTAATATATAAATGATATGATGTTAAAACGCAAATAAAAATTACATTAATATTTTTATTACAATTTATTTTTTATAAAAATTTTTATTTACTACCTACTACTTATTTACTACCTTTTTATAAAAATTTTTATTTACTACTAGATTAATATATATATATATATATATATATTATATATATATATATATATATATATATATATATATATATATATATATATATATATATATATATATATATATACAGGCCTTGCGATAAAGCGTCCGGCGATGTGAATTTTACGTCGTCCAAGAGCGATTTTGCGTGTAGCTAGGGCTATTTGCGTAGAGCAAAATATTTTTTGCTTGAGTATATTTAAATATATTTTTGAGCGGAATTTTAATGAAGTAATTTACGATTATTTTAACATTTAATAAAGTATTTTAAAAACCGCACGCAGTTGATATAAATGTTTGAATTACAAAAAAATTAAATATGCTCATTATTTACAAGTAGAAAAAATTCAGATTAAAAAAAAAGTTTAAATCTTTTTAAGCTAATATTTTAATAAAATTATTCAGCAATAGCAAAGTTGTCGATAAAATTGAACAAAAATACTTTTTTTTTAGTTTTAGATTTTTAACTTAAATAATTTTTTTACGGGGGTTTGTTAGGTTTTAAAATTATTCCATAGATTTAAAAATATTTATTAACTGTTAGACGTATTTAAAGTATTTAAGAGGAAACATTTTAAAAATTGGTAAGTGCAAATAAAAAAAATAAAAGGAATAATATTAAAACGTATTCTACTTGATTCAATAAAAAAGTGCAGCTATTAAAATTTTTGTAAAAAGTAACTCGAAAAAAATTACTTTAATAATTACAATCGCTTTTTTGTTAAAAGTTACCGAAACTCAACTAAGCGTGCTCGAGAACAGCTGCTGAAAAATAGAACGTCAATAGTTTTTCAAATAATTTTTAATAATAATTTTTAACAATAATTTTTTCGCTGAAATATGTCTTTTATACCTATAAGATTTTTATTCTAACATTTTGTTTATTTTACCAAAAATATAATTCCTTGTAAACATTAAAAATCTATTTAAAACGTTTGTTAAAGTTTTTTAGCAATACGAGTGATTGTGCTTATCAACTGCTTTATGAAAATAAATAAATAAAAAAATATTTATAAAATCGCTAGTAAAAATATTAGCTATTCCACAGTTTTTAATCGTATAATATTAAAATTTCCAGTATATTACTCGCTGACTTTAAAAAGAAAAAATAATTATTTCAAAAACTTTAAATTATATATTTGAGAAAAAAAAATCAAATATTAGCATATTTTATAATCTCTTTAAAATGTTTAGTTATAATGTTTTTTTATTCGTTTAGTATAGACAAAACGTGTCAAACGTCGAGAAAATAAACAAATGTTTTTACAATTTAAAAAACAAAACATTCCAAAACATTTTTGAATAATAACATTTCTACATTAATGATTTAAAGTAGTTTTGCGGTAATTAAGTAAATTGGTGCAGCTAATGTCGATAAATATGAAAAGCATATAAAAAGGATTTAATGACGTCAAAAATCACGTCGTGCTTATGCGTGGCGCAGGTTTTATTCATCACAAGGCCTGATATATATATATATATATATATATAAATATATAATATATATATATATATATATATATATATATATATATAGATATATATATATATATATATATATATATATATATATATATATATGTATGTATGTATGTATGTATGTATGTATGTATGTATATGTAATATATATATATATATATATATATATATATATATATATATATATACATATATATATATATATATATATATATATATATATATATATATATATATATATATATATATATGTATATATATATCTATATGTATATATATATATATATATATATATATGTATGTATGTATATAGTATATATATATATATATATATATATATATATATATATATATATATATATATATATATATATATATATATATATATATATATATATATATCTGTGTGTGTGTGCGTGTGTGTTTTTATAAATTATTTTATTCTTTCAGGTGTGGTTCAGGTTTAAGTGGAGAAGTTTTGACAGAAAATGGTCACTATTGGGTTGGATTTGACATTAGCAAATCCATGCTTGGTAAATTTTGTTTTCTTTGTTTATGTTGCTCAAGTCAAACAATTTTTCTTTTAGACAATTAACAATTAGTTAAATTATTTTTTTGAGGTTTCATATGTTATTTGAGAACTTAATCAATAAGGAATTGTTAGAAAATATTATTGTTTTGCTTCATTGATTGATAGTTATGAATTAATTATGATAATTGATTTAATTATGCCAATAAGTATGCCTTAAATTTAATTAAACAAAGAAACATATTGTTTTGACTAATTCTAAAATATCATAGTTCTTATAAGAAAAAAAGTGTAATATAACTTTGAAAAATTATAATCTTAACATTACAAGTATCCAACTCATTTACTCAAGTTTTAATTACAAAAGTCTTTTTAAATGATTTGTCATTATTGTAATGCGATCGTCAAAATTTTCATATTTATTTTTATAGTAATATATAGCAGTAAGATCAATCATTTTAATAAAATGACCATATGTTGTATAACAATATTTTTATATTGATGTTATAATATTTTTGTTATTTATTAATTTAATTAATAACCAAGTTGTTAAATAAATATCAAAGTTAATTGAAAATTATTTTTAAAATGTTTTATGAAAGTTGTTTTTTTTTTGCCTTTTTATTGCTAAAAATACATATCTTTTTGCAATCCCTGAAATGAAGAAGGAATGAAAAAGTTCAGTGGAAATATCAAAAATTATTATCAAAACATAAAAAATTGTAATTTCTAAAAAAAGCCCGCACAAGACTATCGAGTTGTACAGCATGTGTAGCTTGCTAATTAGGAACTGAGATTGTTAAAAAGTTTTTCTATTAACTGTTGACTATTAAAAAAAAAAAAAAAAAGCAAGTCCAGAATTTATAAATATCATGGACAAATCACACCTTTTTTGGTACTACTGAGGCTGTATGGGCCCATAAAATATTTATTTGTTATTTTTCTTTTTACTTTTTTAATGAAAATTAAAAAAAAATTATTCAATTAAAATGCAGTAGTAACTAACTAATTTTCTATCTTATTGAGTTACAAAAACCAACATTTTGAAAAACCGGTTTTTTGAATTCCCAAAAAAACGGTTTTAACCAGTTTTAACCAAAAAATTGAATAGAGAGAATTAATTTTTTTTTAATTTATATAAAATTACAAAAAAAAAAAAAAAAAAAAAAAAAATCAAGATTTAAGTTACAATATATTTTAAAAATGGATAGCAAATTAAAAATCGATGAAAGCAAAAGTTTTAATTTACAAACAATATTTATATTTATTCCACTTATTTTAATTTTTTCTAAAGAAATAGTATTTTTTAACATAGTGTCCACTAAACAGTGACTTAGTCTTATTCTTATTTTGCACACAATAATGCCTACAATTGCTCACAAGCAAAAGAGCTTAGTTTATAAATTAGCAGCTTGTTAAGTCTTCAACTGCTAGATGAATTTGGTCCAGTTCAACTGCTAGATGAATTAGATCCAATACCATTCAGTACTAAAACCACATATTTTTGCTGCTAGAAATTTACCAATCATTTCCTACCAATTCTTTTCCTTTTTTTTAATTTGATATAATTTTGAAGAATGGTGTTTTTTACTGGAGATTTTCTAAAAAAACTTACTAATTTTTCTAATTTGTGAAAATGATTGTTTGTAATTGTCAGACCCATAGGAATATGTGTTCTTTGTTATAAACCCTAAAAAAGAAGATCTTTGTAATTGTCATATTTTTCTTCATCTTCCGGTTCCTTGCCTTAAACATTTTTTTGGGCAACCATTTATCTATATTTTTATAACACATCTGTAACTGCTAAGTAAATTGCATGTGAATAGCATAGTTGAATAATTATGCATGATAATAAGCTGGTTTTTATCATAATACTACCACCATTATTTGTTGCTGCAACTATCAGTTTCTAGATTCAAGTTGAAATTTTTAATTCTACTAGATATAATTCTAATTTTCTCTGAGCATCTCAGAAACCAGTTATTGGAACTAATCCTAAATTAAAATTTTCTGCTAAGTGGTGTATATTAATGTTTAAATATTTACGATTTCTTTGGCTTCTCTTTATTTGTCTAAGGTTACAGAACTTTAATATATATATATATATATAATATATATATATATATATATATATATATATATATATATATATATATATATATATCTGTATGTGTGTATATGTAAAATTTTAATCACAGTTTGTGTCAATACTTTTTTTAAATATTTTAATATTTTAAAATATTAACTTTATTATTAATATTTAGTTACTTCATGTCTACTCTGTGACACTTTCTTTTCCTGTAAAATGTCAAATTTTTATATAGTGTGTTTTGGTACTCTTAAATTCACTGGGATAAAATAACAATAAAAGATTTTATTTATGTTTTGATGTGGGTAATAATGAGATTATTTGTTATTTATACAAATGCCTATTTACAACTATATCCAACTCTTTGAGACACAATCTTCCCTCTATAAGGACACATCTGGAACCTATGCTAATTGAACTCAAGTTATATACGCAAAAATTACAGATCTTAATTTTTTTTCTGATAGACCAACCACACACTATAGGAATAAGCAGAATTTTTTCTTATTCTCAACATACGAATTAAAATTTGATTTAGCCAGTTGCACTTTTTTATTTAAAAGGATAT